TAATGAAGAAAATGTGTAGGATGGAAAGGCTGATGGGCCTTATGGATGGCTCGAGCGACGTATGGCCCATAAATGATGGGCTTAGAGAAAATTGAGCCTTTTAGTAAATTAGGCTTAACTATGACCTTTTAGTCACGGCATATGGAAAAATATAAATTAGAAAGATAATATTACACCATTTATCCATCTATATATATATAATTACTAGCTAATAGAATTTAATAATACCTATTTAATTTTACCTATGTGGCAATTTAATAATTTTCCCTCCAAAAACCGTTATATTTTGATGTATTTAATCTTTCATTTAATCATTAAATAATTAATACTCATCACTTTAAAATTATAAAAATTATTTTAAACTTTTGATTAATGACAGTTGACCATATAATGTGTTGACCGTATAATGTGATTAGATGTTATTATTGTTGTTACATTTAATTTTTATTTTGAAAATAAAAAATATATTTGAAATTCCTAAATAAATAATAAATAATTCACAAATAAAAGACGTACCAAAATACACATTACATCTAATCAGATAAACGCAATTTAAAAAAAAAAATATTCCAACTCTTTTAATTGTAAATTTGGTCCGCAAAAAAGTGAAAGAAAAATAATTAATCATTATATGTACAGACTCACAATAATGTATTTATATCTGTGCAAATGCACAGGTCGAATACTAGTAGTTTTTAAACCCGGCTCGGACTCCGGGTCTCCGGGTTACCTGTTCAACGGTTCAACTGCCGGGTCACTGGGTCAATTGCTGAACTAGATAATTAATTTAAAATTTTTAAAATTATGTATAGTATTTTTGACATATAAATATACATAAAAATAACAAAACTAAATGTTTTGTATACAAAATTTATACATATTTAAGTGTTAATAATATTGTATCCCACAATAAATATTTACTATATCATATATTTATATAGTTTTTATTTTTCATATAAAAAAATATTTAAAAAAAATATAGAGACCGGGTCAACCGGGTTGACCCGGCCGGGTCAATGAACCTGGTTGACCGGGTCAAAGCCGGGTTGACCGGGTTTGACCGGGTCCATTGTTACCCGGTCTAAATAGCCCACCCGAACCGGTTTCGGATCCGGGTCGACCCGCCGGGCCAAGTAAAAAACAATGCATTTATCTTTCATTTTTATTTTATTCTATTTATATTTCAAAATATTATATTAATTTTTATTACCATTTTTTTCTTAATTTCATAAGCGGTATATTTTAAAGTTTATGAATGATTAATTTCAAGTATAATTTTATCATTATTTCTAAATTGCATTATTTTTAGTTTATGAATTATGTTTGTATAATTTTAGCGTGAATATTGTACTGTAAAAAAAATAATATAGTAGACATGTAAAACAATCAATAAAAATAAAATTTATAAAACTCATACTCCTAACTGAGAGTATAAACTAGCCGAGCTCAAGTTCCTAATAATCGAGCTCGAGAACGAAATGTGTTGATAGACAAACTCAAGCTAGACTCGACCAAGCTCGAGCCTTTAACTAGCTTTAGTCAAGCCTTAACGAACCAAGGTATAAAAAATTAAATCAATTTTATATTTTCTAGCCTTAATGAACTTTAAATATGTCAAGCTCAAGCCATAGTAAGCTAACTCGAGCCTTAACGATGCATATTATCGAACAGTACATAAAAATATATTTTCGAGACTTAACGAGCTTTAAATAAAGTGAGCCGAATCCTACGATCGTTTCATTAACAACGCGAAAAAAAAAAAACTTAAACTTAGGAAAGAAAAACTTGATACAATTCCAACAAAAAAAAAAAATCGTGGTTAACATTTCATTTTCTCAAATTAGGTAGAACCCCAGAAGTCTAGAACTGTTATACAATGACGCGAGCGTGACCGTTTGCCGACGCCATGCCGCATTTGGTATCCCACAAAGAAAAGTAGAAAACCAAACAAATAAAACCGACGTACGTAATGATTATTGCTTCGTCATCAAACCAAAACTATATTATTAAATAACAATGCGTGCACCAAACAGGACATTAGCGAATGACACCCAGTCCGTGGTAATCCAACTGGCGCACAACCTAAAATTCCACGAGAAAATGACGAGAGGGCAATATGGGAATACTCAAAAGGTTCTCTCATAATCTTTGCTGCATGCGAGTTACAGAAGCTCTTTGCTTGCACCAGAATTTGCTGTTTGTTTGTTTATTTTTGGGATAATAACATAAAAATAACATCGTGCGAAAGGGAGTGGTCAAAATATTCTCTACAATATTATTTAATATTGTTTTAAAAAAAATATTAATCTATATATATTGAAAGAGGTTGATGGAAATATTAAAAATAGAAAGTTGAAAAATTTGGGTCAAACCTTTGACTTACCAGTTTTGAAAATGTTGTTTAAAATTTAATTGGATCATGTCTCACGTGTGTGATAATGATTTGTTGCAATTTAAAATTCTTTTTGGTATTACTTGGGATTCAAATCGCACAAAATCAGGAATTCATCTTTTTCAATTAATTCAATTACGGTTGACTTGATTTTTTACGACTGAGTTGATTTACAAATTTAAAATCACTTACTATTTTTACTAATAATGTTTTTTTTAATTTGATCTATTTTTTTTTTTTTCAAAATGTAATCAAAATAAATCACATATAATAAATTTTGATTATCTCATGCCTAAAAAATATTACAAAATGTAACATAAATTCCAACAATGGGATTCACTCCAAAAATATTTGTATTTCTTGAAAATAAAAATGAAAGTAATTAGTTAAATATATTTTAAAAGTAAACTGCGAAAACAAAAAAATAATTAGCTAAACAATTAAAAGTAACAAACATAATCAATTAGATCACACATTCAAATTTGAAAGAGTTATTTGAAAGATAGGGCTATATTAGCTCCCACATTGGAAGTTGTTGAGTCCATCAATCAATACATGTCCGATATGAATTCTTCTGAAGGTCGTACATACTTGAGCTCTGCAATACTTCTAAGTCGAATTCTGGCAATGATTTCTTGACAAATCTCCACACGCCAGAATTCTTGAATAGTATCAAGTGTTCTGGAACTCCCAACCATGAGTTGCACCTGAAAGTAGGAACTCCAGTAATGTTGTTGTGCAATATATTCTATGGGACCGTGCAATAGAACGCGATTGGTTGTGACTAAACTCTCTACTCATGTTCTCAAATGCAAGATATTGACGGAAGATCACGCTGGCGATAATGTGTTGATTCCTAGGATGAATATCACTTCATCTGATACTAGGATTCCATTTAAGTTCCAGCGTCGACAATTCCCACTTGTGATTTCGTATGCCATGACCATGAACAAGAGTCAAGGACAGTCTTTATCGCACGTTGGTCTATTCCTGAAGAAACCTGTTTTTAGTCACGACCAATTATACGTTGCTGTTTCACGTGTAACTAATAGAAGAGAGTTGAAGATATTAGTTTGTGATAATGACGAGTTACCAAAACCAAACTCATAATGTTGTGTACGATGAGGTTTTTAATAATATATGATTGTTTCGTGACGAAATAATCATTTTTTTTTTGTAATAATTTTCCTATGTATTATAATTATTTCGATCCTAATACATATCATATTATATTATTCTCCAAAATTATATAGCCCGTGCATCGCACGTGTTCTGCACTAGTGAACTTTAAATATGTCAAGCTCAAGCCATAGTAACTAGTAAGCTAACTCGAGCCTTAACGATGCATATTATCGAAAAGTACATAAAAAATATATTTTCGAGACTTAACAAGCTTAAAATAAAGTGAGTTGAATCTTCCAATCGTTTCATTAACAACGCGAGAAATAAAAAAAGAAAAAAGAAAAAAAAGGAAAAGAGCTTAAAGTTAGGAAAGAAAAACTTGATACAATTCCAACGAAAAAAAAAATCATGGTTAGCATTTCATTTTCTCAAATTAGGTAAAATCCCGGAAGTCTAGAACTGTTATACAATGACGCGAGCATGACCGTTTGCCGACGCCACGCTGCATTTGCTATCCCACAAAGAAAAGTAGAAAACAAATAAAGTGACGTACGTAATGATTATTGCTTTGACACCAAACAAAAACTATATTGTTAAATTACAATAATAAAAGCGTGCACCAAACAGGACGTTAGCGAAGTACACCCAATCCGAGGTAATCCAGCTGGCGCACAACCTAAAATTCCATGAGAAAATGACGAGAGGGCAATATGGGAATACTAAAAGGTATTCCCTCAGAATTTTTGCTGCATGCGAGTTACAGAAGCTCTGCTTGCACCAAAATTTGCTGTTTGTTTGTTTATTTTTGGGATAATAAAAAACATAAAAAGAATATCGTGCGAAAGGGAGTGGTCAAAATATACTCTATAATATAATTTAATATTGTTTAAAACAATATTAGTATTTTGTATAAGATGGTCTAACAATGTTTCAATTTTAAAGTATGTACATTTATTAAACAAATATGATTGTCTAACAATATTCGTGTTGTTATAATCATGTTGTGTTTTAAATCAAACATATTTTCGTATTCGAGTTAAAGAACTACTTAAGGATCAATAAAGCTTGTAGACAAATCTAATGTTTAGACAACAATAAATATACATCATTTTAAACTGAAATATCATACTTTAAAAAAAATATAGACATCTTATATCGCAAGAATGTATTTTTGTAAAGAAAAAAAATATATATGACAAAATTCAAGGATTGATTTGCCATTACTTTTTGATTAGTTGTGCTATCTCGTCAACTAGATTGGACTCTTACAAAAAGCTATATTCCAACTAAATGACACAATCCATATCCTTAACCTTAAAGCTTATGCAAAAATTATATTCCTTATACATATAATTTGTTAATTGGTTGTTGCTTGTTGGAACAAAACAGCAGACATTGACATTAGTGAATATCTTAATATTGTAATGAGTCAAGATAAGCAAAAAAAGAATGTGGGAAAACAGATAGAGATGGGTAGGCGCTACCTTAGTAAACTAAATAATAATAATACTTTATCTGAGGCTTCAAGACTTGCATGGATTTTCATAAGAAACATTGATAAATTTTATTCCTTTTTCTTACAATAATCCTTTTCATGCATATATTTGACTAAAAGACTAGCCCTTGGTAACCGGGATATCCCTTTCCGGCAATCTTTTTCTTTCCGGCCGGTCGAGGACTTGTTCTGGTCAAACGAGTCTTCGATTAAGACCACATAGTCGGTACCTTCCCACTTTATCAATCCCTTGTCTCAATTTGCTCTCGTTTGATCATTTTCACAAACACTTTTTGAGCTTAATTTATGAATAAAGATTGAATCTTTTTCGCAGCAGTTTGACTCATTTATTTCTTTTATTTGGTTTGCCCACTTTGTAAAAAGTGCTTTGAAAATGGAGGAAGGCGTGGCGTGCATGAATGGAAAGTGCCCATCATCAAACTCAGTGTCTGAATGGAAAAAGGGCTGGCCTTTGCGATCGGGTGGCTTTGCTAAGCTCTGCGAAAATTGCGGGTATGAATGAACCATCTACCAATTTATCATCCCTTTTCTCATCTCATTTTTCTTTTCCTAACAAAAGATTTTTTTTATTTTTTTTTTCCATTGAAAACATATGCCAGTTCTATTTGAGGTTAATAAGGTTTGTTGTGACTTGTGAGGTTCTTGTTTTCTTTCCTTTTTATTTCAATCTGGTGTCCAATTTTTGGAGAAATTTGAGCTATTAGGTCACTCTTGTCTATTTTGGATTGATGTAGTAATCTTGTTGGGTGCTGGTTAGTTCAATATCTTGCCATATAAGCTGCATCTTTGTTTGGATGCTTATAGCATGAAAAAATGGCTATCTAATATAGCATATTAGTTTGTGTCTATGATATTAGTTGATTTTCCACTGGGTTAAAATCTAAAGTATGCTCTTTTAAAAAAGCATTAGGAAGTTATTTGAGTATTAGACAGAACCATAAAGAGTTGTTGTATCATCTGATGACTGATAACACTTTATGGAGTAAATGAAATTAAAAAAAAAAAAAATTGAATCTTTCGAGTTATTTTACGACAGGACTGCCTATGAACAACTGACTTTCTGTGAAATGTTCCATTCGGAGGAAACCGGTTGGAGGGAGTGCACTTCATGTGGGAAGGTGAGTTCATAGTTCATACAGTTAACTGTTTTGCACATTTTCCTTCAGAATGTTAGTCTGCTTTTTTCTGAGTAAATCGTTGATTTTTTAATTTTTTTTTTTCAATTTCAGAGTCTCCATTGTGGTTGCATTGCATCTAGTTCGTTGTTTGAGCTGATCGACACAGGTGGCGTGAATTGCAGAGGCTGCTCTAAATCTCCTTCTGAGGAAAGAGACAAAGCATGTGATCTTTCGGCAGAAAATGGCACCAACCAGGATTTCGAAACGATGGTCCCCCCAAAATCGAGCGATGATGCTACAAATTCAAAAAAACCCGAAAATGATTTTTCTGGCTCGGGCGAACAAAGAGGTTATAACTGGTTATCTACTTTTTATCAAGAAAATAAAGGCCCCGGAATTTTACACTCGTCGTTAGTCTCGACTGATTTGAGCATAAGCTTGTGTTCTCCTTCGTCAAATGCGAAACCGAGCACTGTAAGTTCTTCCTTTCAACTGTCGTGTAGGCCTCGCCAGCTCATACCGAGGCTACCGATTCCTGTTCTTGCAGCAGGTTTGGATACAAACCCGAATTCCATTCCACAGGTCCGTGTCGCGAGGCCACCTGTCGAAGGACGAATCAAGAATCAGCTGCTTCCACGTTATTGGCCTCAATTGACGGACCAGGAATTGCAGCAAATTTCGGGAGAGTATCCTAGATGATTTTACTGGTTATATTATGGGGTGTTAATTTTTTTTTTCTTAACTGTAGTTATTTTCTAGCTCGAACTCTAGGATTGTTCCGTTATTCGAGAAGGTTTTGAGTGCAAGTGATGCGGGTCGAATAGGTCGTCTAGTTCTACCTAAAGCATGCGCTGAAGTGAGTTGTTTTGTCATATCTCAACATTACAGTTTTTGCTGAGCTATCTTAGGGCGTGAATTTGAGGTTTACGGATAAATTCACCCGTGCAGGCGTATTTTCCTCCGATCTCTCATCCCGAAGGCCTTCCCCTAAGGATTCAAGATGTGAAGGGAAAAGAATGGCTTTTTCAGTTCCGGTTTTGGCCGAACAATAACAGCCGAATGTACGTTTTGGAAGGCGTGACTCCTTGCATCCAGTCGATGCAACTACAAGCTGGAGATACTGGTACTCTATCAACAATTCTTTTTCCTTGAATATTACATATAATTCTGAAAAAAAAAAAAAAATATTTGTCAGTTACTTTCAGCCGTATGGATCCGGGTGGAAAACTTCTGATGGGATTTCGAAAAGCATCGAACGCTACTTCTGCCCACAAGGTAAAAGCCAAGAACGAATTTTTCTGTACTGATCAAAGAACTTCTTTTCCTTCTAATAATTGTCATGCTTACACAAATATTTGATTTTTGACAATATTTTCACATGAAATCAAACTAAATATCAATGTTGGTTGGTTTGTTAAATGGTTCAGGATTTACAGTATTCCATACATAATGGTGTTTTTCAAGGTGAACTACTCTTGAGCAACTCGGAAAGTTACTGGGGATTTCGTCGCACGATGAGAGGGAGCAAAAATCCTTATTTGGGAAATGCATCTAAGTTAGTAGTAGAAAATCNCATGAAAAAAAAAAAAAAAAAAAGTTACCATTATGAGCTACGTACGAAGCTATATCTTTACGAGTCTTTGTTTTGTTTCGATGTTTTCTAATTTTTTTTACAGGAACCACCTGTTTTCGCGAAGAGGAGTATTTTCGTTGCTCGTGTATCTGGGTAAGATAGGAAAAGAAAAAAAACAGTCTTGTTTCGATTTCATTTTCTTTCGAGAAAGAGTGACAAAGCCTACGAAACCTGTCGAATTCAGGGAGCACGAGCAGTGGACTCAATGCGATAGTTGCTTCAAATGGCGAAAAGTGCCGATCGACATCCTTCTCCCTCCCAAGTGGACGTGCCACGAAAATATCTACGATTATACAAGGTTTGGTTGAGCATTTATTCACTTCAAATACAAAGAGATTTTCGCTCTTCCTTTCAAAAACAGTCGTGTTTCATGCTTCTTATAGTGTTATATACATATGCTTACATATCGAGCATTGCTGTTCTTCCGGTGTTAGATGCTCGTGTTCTGCACCGGATGAATTGAGCCCCAGCGAGCTCGAGTATCTGCTCAAAATGAACAAAGGTATATTAACAAACTTATTGTCGTTAACTTCTTCTTTCGCTTTAATGACGTACATAAATACATACATCCATCAAATAGACTTGACGAAATCAAGAATCGGGCCAAGTCTCATCAAACCTGCACAAAACGAGCACGAAACTCCCGACCCACAAAACCCGACAAACCCATCATTAGCCGAGACGGGTGAACGAGGTGCCACGTCATCGGCTGCGGCCACCACAAAGCACCCGAGGCACCGGGCAGGCTGTTCGTGCATCGTGTGCATACAGCCGCCGAGCGGCAAGGGCAAGCACCAGCCAAGCTGCGTGTGCAATGTTTGCTCGACCGTAAAGCGCCGCTTCAAAACACTCATGATGAAAAAGAAGAAACGCCAAGAGGCCGAGATCGCGCGTGGTGGGGCCCACCACACCACCAGCTCGGAAAATGCGGAGGCGGCTTTGTTGAAGGGAGGTGGGTTGGATTTGAATTGCCGTCCAAGTCAGGAGAATGTGGTCAGCATGACGAGCCTCGTACGAGAAGCTAGTTTGCCTCTCGAGGAGTATTTGAGGCAGCACGGGCTCACGAGCTTGGTATCGGACGAGCGAGCACAACCGGTAGAGAATGCTGACATGGCTCAATCACAGGAGGAGGATCATGGTATTTCTGCTGCTGTGCAAGGACATGAAGAGGATGGTGATAATTTCTCTGAAAAGGGATCAAAAGAAGAATGATTCTTGATTTTGCCTTTTTTTTTCATCTCCTTTTGTTGTATTTCCTTATGATTCTCTGAGTTGACAGTAAAGTTCAAAATAAATGTAGAACCTTTTCAAGTCCAGAAATGAACACACATTAAGAATATACAGGAGTATTATTAACTGTGATGCATTCATTGTTCTTTCCTTAACTGTAAAGCCAAGCCAAATGACACATTCATTCATAACACTTGACACAGTTTCATCGTAAAAATCGAACATTTGGGAGGATAATACTATGTACTAGTAAATATATTACAAGCTAGAAAGAGAACAAGTATCAACATAAGGGCGCGCGGCACGACGAATCTCAACAGCACTTCCGAGCCACCCGAGCAAAAAAAACAAACTCTATGCAAAAAAAACAAACTCTATACATATCATCTCTTATCTTGTATGTGAGATCCTCATTTCATCAAACTCAAGAAAGAAAAAGGAAAAGAAAAACAAAAAGTTCAAAAAACTTACTCTACTAAACTAACTATCAAAATCTTTCACACTCAACCTACGAACGGTGGAGCAAGAAGAGAATCTACAGCTTTCCTGCCGATCACTTTCCTCTAATAACAGCGTATACGAACTCGATCTGGGAGGCAGAGCCAGTGGCAGCCCATGCAAGGGTGTAATAGACTTAGGTCTAGCCGAAGGAGGAGAAGGAGAAAGATTCAATCTTGTGGCCTTGGGCACAATCCCGTTTAGGCTGGGTGATCTGAACATCTGTTTGCCGCTAATTTTGCCCGGCTCCTGCAGAGGAAATCGAGATGCGTACTTCAAATCCTGTATGGTCTTGAGGTGCTCAACGATAACCCTCATCGTGGGCCTCTCTGAGGGGTCCACTTGGAGACACCGTTGAGCAATATCAGCCACTGTCCGCGCAGCTCTGGCCGGAAAACGACCCTTCAGCTGAGGGTCCATGATAAGGGACAACCTGCAATCATCCGCCAGAAAAGGGCGACTCCATTTTACGAGATTCCTCTCTTCCTTTGAGTGCCGGCTGTCGAGGTTTTTCCGACCCGTGAGCAATTCGAGAAGCACAATCCCAAAACTCCACACATTGCTCTTTGGTGTTAAAAGGCCCCTTTCAAGAGTCTCCACCGAAAGATTTGCCACAGCCTGAACGTATACACAGATATTGGTGATTTTATGTAAGAAACTTATCTATTTAACAGTACCACGTTAAAATCCGGAAATAGTTGGGTAAAAAAACTTACGACTGAGCTGCTGGAGATATCCGTCTCGGGAATGTGGCCGATGCAACCATGCCCAGAAAGCTTTGCACTGAAATCCTTGTCAATCTGTATATTCGAGGTTGAGAAATCTTGGAACATTGCCTGTACAGCAGTAAAAGCATAAGGTACTACAAAGTAAAAGCGAAATCCAACTTATCAGACAACATATGACTTTAATACCTGAAAGGGTCCCTCCTCGTGCAGAAAGGTAAGACCTTGCGCCGCACACAGAGCAACTTTCATTCTGCTATTCCAGTCGAGAGGTGGGCCATCAGATCTCCCATATAAAAGCCGATCGAGACTTCCATGAAATAGCCTCTCATAAACCAACATCCTGAGGCCTGAGCCTTCACGCGCATGATATCCAATTAATTTACAGAGGTAGGGGTGTTGCAAAGATGCCAGCGTATTTACATCATTCACAAATTCTTTCAAACCCTTTAAAAAAGGAACAATAAATATTGAAAATGTGTGAGATGTATTTAAAGGCTTTTGACAGAAATTTGAACAACAAAAATCCTAACAGTAACAGTACCTGATTGCAAGGATGAAGACGAGTCACAGTGGCTTCAAGCTTCTTTGATCCAGAAGCATCCTCCATAAATGAAGCTCGGTACATGACAGAAGATAAACCTTCAGACATACATCTCTCAGGAGAGAAGTTATGACAAGCAGATGCAAGTTCTTCATAGGAAAAATTGAGAAGTGTCCCTTTAGCCGTGAGAGCTGGATGTGAAGTAGGGGGTAAAGGGAGGGGCCCGGACATGTTAAGAGGGCCACTGCAATTTATCATTTTAAAACTTGCAGTGGCCTTAAGAGCATTGGCACCACAGGGTGATGGGAGGGGAAGAGGCTGAGGACTCGGTGAATTACTATACTCTTTTATGGACCCAATCCGAGTTGTTGTTTCTTCTTGATCCTCGTATTCGACAGATGCAAGTGCATCTTGTTCGGCAGCATCGAGACTAGAAGGGGCTGATAATGTTCGCATTCTGCTACTGCTTACTCCACTAACATTCGACTGTAAAGGTTTAACTCTGGTTTTGAAGCTCGGGGGAGCAGACTGTAGAGAGCGTGTACGGTTTTGGGGTTCTGGCAAAACAGAAGGTGAATGCTCCTGCGGGTTCACATGTTTAACGTAATTGGTATGGTCAGATTTCTTCTTCTTACTCTTTAACACGGTAAAGCATCCCATGTTGCAAGTGAAAACTTTGCAATGTCGAGAAGGTGCGAGTTCCAGCTGAAAGCAAAAGAAAATGTTGAACGAGACGGACACTTTTCTCACTTGATATCTGTAGAGAACAAATTTGCAGAATAGGACTTCATTCAACTCAACAGAAGGAAAACGGTACATATAAACAATAAATTCAGAGTCCGGACTACAAGTAGAAGCAGATAAATAAAAAAGGGCTAATGTGTTGCCAGTTAAAACAAATTTATGGTGTTAGGAACGCAAATGCAACTTTTCCACTGAAGGAAAAACATTTACATATAGCAAATGGAAACTACTTTATTCAGAGAATGTTAACTAAGAAATATGGTAATTATAGGCTACATTGCTCTCGACTCTGGCCTTCAAAAGAGGTTGGCTTTAGATGATATTTATAACTTATTCTCAGTAGTGTCAATCAACACATAGGATCAACTTTGTGAGAGTGGAATAATGCTTCCAATTTCCAACACGAGGCACGTAAGTATACCGAAAATCATAATTGGGATACCTCAAATCTGGTTCTCCTTATCAAGTGATCACAGAATTCAACTGCTGACACAAACTTGAAAATTTGTAAATTCTTTCATATTACCAATAACAATAATTTCGAATGCACAAATTAGCAAACAAAAAATGAAACCACCAAATATTGAAAAGAAATTAGCAAATTTTATTGCACCACTTAGGATGATCATCAATCAAAGGAAAAGGTAATTCTCCCAGCTCACACTATATCTGGAACCGCATGCATAATCAAGCAGACCAAACCTCATTTCATATCAACCCACTTGATTAACATCAGTTGGTACACGTAGAAACAAGAAACAACAAGCCCAGATCGTGTAACTATATACACCAATGAACATATTAAAAAAATCTAAATAAAGAAATGCCGCCCATATTGACGAAACGAGAAATTACCCATGCTATACTAATAAAAAAGACACAATTCCCAACTGAGGATAAATAGAACAAGACTGAAAAATACTTACAGGAGGTCGAATTCACCAAAATTCAGCTCACTGCCGCAGGGTTTTAGGCCAAAGTTTGGATCTTTACGAATACCCACCGATCCCAACAGGCCACGAAATGGTAAAATCAAAATCTACAGAGATTTATGGCTCAATTCGGAAAAGAGTAAAAAAAACCCTAGAGACAAGTCAAATGAATACAAGGAAAATGCAGAGAGGAGATTTTTAGGAGGAAAGGAAAGAGAAGAAAAAAAAAAGGCAAAGGAATGTGGTGATTGTTAAAAGTAAGTGTGTGTGTGCTGTGCGTGCGTGGAGATAATTTATGCGCATAAAATACATGAGAACAGTGGTCAAAGTCAAACCAAAAACTCATCTGCAAAGACTGCAACCCCCATTTTAGGAAGTAATAAAATTGTTAATGACTCTTTTAGCCTCTATTGTGGACAGTATGAATAAACAGAAAATGAATATACTCTGCTCAATTAGAATGATTTTTGATGGTTTATTTACCACAGATTTATGCTAAATATGGGAAAATGATAGTTAAACATTCAAATTCAAACTTTGACCGGAGTCTGGAGCATTAAAAGATTTTTGAAATCTGCATTTGATCTCATTTTTAGTCTGAGTTCATAACTGATAAAATACGGTAACGGATTCTCAAATCAATCCCCCTTTTTTTTTCCTTTTTATCTTGCTTTAATGCATCCATTTAGAGTTGTTAGCTTATGAGCTCGGTTTAGCTAACGAACATAACCAAGCTCATTAAGGCTAAGAATATGTAATTTCATATAACTTTTAATTATTTAGGTTTGTCATAGGTTAAAGCTCAAAACTTAATATTTGGGTTTTGACTTGTTAATATTAATAGCAAACAAAGCACGACTTCATTTTTTTAACGAGTCGATCGAGACTTAATAAAAACTTGAGCCTGAACAAGAGTTCGGGTGGTTTACATTCTTAATTTTATTATAAGCTGAGCATAATCCCTTTTGCTTCCCTATCTCTCTTGTTTTCACAATTATAATAAAAACTTAAGTGTGAACTTTCTTAAGATTCTTTTTAATGAAAATATCATTTGAGAGTTTACTAATAAAATTAATATGTTACACGGAGAGAGCTTGTAATTTTTAGAGAAATTTAGTCAATAAGCAAATAAGTATGGCATAAAAATATATTTTGAAATTAAAAAAANATATTATACACAAGATGGATATGTATTATTATCATGAAAATGTCCATTTATTTTCGCGTGGTCAAAGACAGTCCATTGGCTCGTGGATACGAAGATCTACATTATTTTTTTTTTTTCTTTTTGGTACAAATCTACATTAAATTTTTAAATGGCTTTATAGCCAATTGCGTCCAATTAAATCACTAGATTCAATCGAATGTCATTTCACAACTTAAACAGTATTTTATTTAGGGTGGGTAGTGTTTGAAAAAGCTGGAATATTGTAATAAAAAATAGCAATCTCGTAGAAATTCAAGTTTAAGTTCAGTTCGTTATTTTTTATTTTTCACGGAATTTTAAATGAAACAGGTGACCTAAACTTATCGCAGATAAACATTTCATGTACGCGAATAAACGAGCCGAAATTATTGCTCGTTTATTAAACAAGTACGATTCCAACTCGGTTCAAATAACCAAATTGGACATGCTTCAGCAAGGCCGCAAACCAAATTGGACAAACTGGACTATAGAAGAAAAAATCAACTTGAGTGGCATCACAAAATACTTTGAATTATCCACAAAATCCTTAAATTTCTCTGCATTCAATGAATGGCCTCTGTATATATCCCCCACTGAGTTTTGAGAAAATTCCGTACCGTGTAATGTTTCTCAACAGTCGTGCAACTACCAGAAGAACAAGTACTTGCTTTGATTATATTTGAACTCAATTATTCAAAATGAAAAAAAAAAGTGACACATTTAATCTAGGCACTAAAGTTACAAGCCCAACGAATAATCAGATAAAAGTATAACATTTCATAATAAAGTTATACATTTCTATTGTAAAAAGTGTGATGGGTCGACTCGACCCTAATGGTTAAATTTTGTGTACATCCAAATATACGAATAAACCAAATAACTTTGTTCTGCTACAGGATTGAAATCTGTCATTCAATAAATAAAAAAACTATCTAATATTCTAAAGTCTCTCACAATCCACAGGATTTTTATTATGTCTGAATTGCCTAATTCGATTCTACCTATTTGAAAACCTTTGGTGTTTGTGTTTTCAGTGAAAAGGTAATCTTGCACAACCACCAGCTATTCTCAAAAATTACAAGCGAATAACGAGTTTCAAAAATCACACGTCATGTCTTGGTGGACTAGAAACCCCAAAATTTTACAAATCCCATTGAAAACTGCCTGAAAAAATTGAAAAAAATCAGTTAAACAATGATTCACGGTTAGAATCCACAAACATCTGCATGTAATTATAAAATGGGGAAAATGCTCTTTTTTTTTTTTGGTAATTCATATACTTTGTGCAATATGTCTGGACTCACCAGGCCTAAAACAATACTTATAATTTGTAATCAAAAGATATACTTTTAAGATGAATTTATACTTTTAAAGAACACAACAAAAAACCATTTTATCATTTTGTTTGAAAATTATTCAAAATTGTCCATTTCCACTCAAAATGTATAGCTACTGGATCCAAATGGATGAAAGCTTATCAGCCCAACCATTTATGTCCTGTGTCTACTTGGTTATAAGAAATTCCAGGATATATCAACTGTAAACATCTATTGAGTGTCAAATATCACATAAAAACTAATGGGGATTAAAAAGGGAGGCAAAAAGTGTTGGGGTATTTTAGTAAATCTAATTGTAAGTCGAGCTAGCTAGCTGATAGATTATAAGTGAATTCAAAACTTATAGCTGATAGCTTTTGACAAATGATTGAAAAACAAGCTGATATATAAATAATGTTTGATAAAATTAGCGATATAAGTCAACTGAAATAAAACTATAAAAAAAAAAACTTTCTTGAAAGCTACATGTAGAAACTTATGAGATCACGTCAAACTTATTTGAATATAAGAAACTTAGAAACTTGCTCACAATGCTTAATCACACTCTAACCCATACATAACGAAAAATAAATAAATAAATAATTATGAAGTACCTTTGAAAGGTGTGGAAGCCCATAAGATGCAGCATAATACCAAGCCCAACCAACGCATTTCCACATAAAGCCCTGCCCACAAACCCTTCCCAGCTGCAAAACCACGCACAAGCCCATTACTGCCAACAGCGAAAGCCCTAAAACAACACACGCTTTTCTTCTTCTCCTCCACAGGCAATTCTTCGAAATCCAACCGGAAAATTAAATTAATAAAAAAAAAAACAGAAATTCGAAAAACGTGAGCTTGAAAATCGCCAACATCCCAGATCGCAAACACTAGTTGTCACATCAAAATTGAAAACGAGGTTACCTTATGAGCAGACCAGATTCTCGCAATGCCTTTATTTCTGGGTCGATTACTGTGGAATTTCTTGAACATGTTGATGAATTTGAGCTTTAATGTTTTTGAACTTAAGGATAATAGGGATTTGGGTTTGGATTTGATGTCCAAGGTGTACGGGTGGAGCTCGAGATGTAATGTGAATCGGAAAAGCTTGCGGACAAGCAAAAATTTGGGTAGCTTGAATTTGAGATCCAAGGACTTGGACTTGGCTCGAAAGGTGATGGTCCACGGCCGCCGCTGGTCCAGGTGCGCCATTGGCGGCGGACGATGACGGCGTTTGCGAACTGAGATGTGGGGTTTGCTTTCTAAGCTCTTACTAACCGTTACTGTAACGGGTTTGCCTGAATTCGATGGACAATTCGGGTATGGTCCACATGGATAGTACAGTCCATTACAAGTGATCAAGCATCAATGGGCCTGAAGCCCAAGTAGATAAAAAGGCCTTCAAAAGAAATAAGGTGATCAGAGTCTTTGATGTCCTGATACGTCAATAAAGGCGGCCGGTTCACTAAATAGGGGCCTTAGCCTTGCTCGGGCTAGAGGTCGAGCACTAACGAGTTAAAAATTGAGTTCGAGCTTGAATCGCTTATCAATATTAATGAGTCAGTTTAGAGCCTTAACGAGTTGATTTTGAGACTTAACGAGTCGATCTTGAACTTTAATGAGATACACTATGAAAAATTATAAAAATTGCTTTTCAAGCCTTGTTGAGTTGAACCAAATTCATAAACGAGCTTTAAGCGAGCTCGAACTCGAACCGAACAGAACTGAATCAAGCTCACAAGCGACTGGTTTCGTTTAACAACTTTAATAGCAATTCAAATGAAGGATAACTTCATAGGGTAAATATTAAATTATATTACCACTAAATAGACATAATTTATTATTTACAAGGACAAACACAAACACACCCATAATAGAAACGTATGGGTTGCATTTATTTTGCTTCCCAAATCATTTTACTTTCTCACACACTGACACGATGCCAGAACATGGGACTAGTTTGAAACTTGTGGTCACTTTTAGAAATGACATTAAATTATAAAAAATATCTATATATATCTCATCCTGTCATCCATATATTATTGAACATATATTGGAGGAATACATGGGAATGGGCAATTGATCGCAGCCCATATTTCCCAATAATGGAGATCAATACAATAAAATAATCAAAATTCAACGGAAAGTTCCAATACAAGTATATTTTAATGGAATTATATAATAAATTTTCAATAAAAATACTCCGTTGGAATGAGTTTTCCATTGGAATTTTCATTGGATTTTAAAAATTCCAATGGAGGTGGAAATAAAAAATCCAACAGAAATTGCATATTCTAACCATAGTTTTTAAACCCGGTCCGGTGATCGACCAGGACAGGTCCTCGGGTAACCGGGTCATCGATTCAGCTGTTGGGTCACCGGGTCAATTGCTGAACCGGATAATTAATTCTAAAATTTTTAAAACTATATATAGAGTATTTCTGTTATATAAATATACATAAAAGTAACAAAATTAAATGTTTTGTGTATAAAATTTGTATATTAAAGTGTTAATTATATGTATCTCATGATAAATATTTACCATATAAACATATTTACATATTTTTATTTTTAAAAAACAAAAAAAATAAAAAAATATATAAAAAATATATATGGACCGGGTCAACCGGGTTGACCCGGCCGGGTCAATGCCCCGGGTAGGCCGGGTTGGCCGGGTTTTGACCGGGTATGCCTGGGTCCTTGGTTGCCCGGTCCAAATACTCCACCCGGACCGGTTCCGGCTCCGGGTCGACCGGGTCCCGGGTCGACCCGCCGAGCCGGTCCGGGTCTCAAAACAGTGGTTCTAACAGAAATTTCTACGGTAAAAAACCGTTGAAAAAATAGTTGTTGGAATCATCAAATTCCATCTAAAAATCCAATGGAAAATTCATTCCAACGGAATATTTTCGTTGGAATAATTCCAACGGAAGCTATACCATTGGAATATCCGTTGGAACTTTCGTTGCAATATTATCGTAGGATTTCCCGTGAAAATATAACATTTTTTTTGTAGTGGATGGACAGATATTTGAGTAAAATGAAACTAATGAGATGAATAAACTCAAGTTAATAACTATTAGTGTGTACCCCGTGCGATGCACGGGAACAATATTAAATTAAAAATATTATAAATAGGCCCCAAATTTGAGTCACTCAATGGCGAAAGTGGAAACTATCATTGATCTTATTTAAAAAGAGGAAGAAAAAAAGTAATTATAAATTAAAGAGGAGGATAAACAATACTTAATAATTATAAATTAAAGATTCAGGGTCAAACAATGTAAAATTATTTTGTATAAGAGAAAATAAAATTTACATTATTTTATATAAGAGAATATAAAATTTGTATGCTTAATATTAAAAACACCTAAAATATTATATTAGTATTTGTAAGAGTAATCAAAATTTTCTATATTATTTTTGAAAGATGTGAAGTCACCTACAATTTTTCTATTAGAAGGAACATATCTAAAAACATTTGAATTTAACATGGCGTAAACAAGATTTTTCTAGACTATTTTGTAAGGAAAACATGTCTACAAATATTTAAATTTAACATCAATTATGTATGTGTATACGTATATATAGACGAATATGTAAAAAAATAACTAAGCAGTTCGTTTAAAGTATCTAAAATATTATGAGCATAATTTAATAAAAACATTATGTCAGATAATACCGAATTTATGGCGTTACTTCCGTCTAAGAAAATATTTGATTACACACCATTGTTATTATATTTTTATATTTGATTACACACCATTGTTATTATATTTTTTTACGTTCTTATAATATTTGTAAAAATATTAGTAATTAGACCGGTGAAAATTAGCCTTTTAAAGTAGATGATGGATTTCTAGTAGTAATTATGAATTAGTTTTTATTTTATTTTATTTTTTGAAATCTTTATAGATAATAGATGAGATTTATTAAAATCGTGAGACATATGCAATATAATAAATAAAAGATAAACTCGAATATTTGTAAAAATATTAGTAATAGACCGATGAAAATTAGCAAGTAGATAATGGATTTCTAGTAGTAATTATGAATTGGTTTTTATTTTATTTTATTTTTTAAAATCTTTATCGATAAGAGATGAAATTTTTTAAACTCGTGAGACGTATGCAATATAACAAATAAGAGATAAACTCGTGTAGATTTATGATATGAGATTTTTGTGGGAAAGTTTAAACCAAAAGTCAATCGGATTTATTGTTGCAAGCTAGAATTAAGGAAACAATGCAATTAAAGAGCCGGTTTTTGTGCCTATTCACAATTGTCCAACAATTACTATATTTAGGATATATTTAATAATTTTGGCGGAAAAAAAGTTTCTAAATTTATAAAAAAAGATTATTCTTTTTATATAATGATAGATTTTAATTTAAATTTAAGTTTTGAATTTATGGCCCCATTTAAAACTGTACCCCAAAAAGCATTAAATTTTGAGACCCATATCGGGCTTGAATTAGGTGATGATTTTAGGGGTAGATTCTATCCTACCCCATGGGGTAGTGCCCCCATGGGATTTTGGCCACACAATCACACACACACCCACATGGGGTAGGTGCCCCCATGGGATTTTGGCCACACAATCACACACACACCCATATGGGTGTGTGTGAAATATGTGGCTAAAAACCCCATGGGGGCACTACCCCATGAGGTAGGATAGAATTTATCGATTTTAGGCGAGTAGTTAATTAATGAAAAAAAAACATACAATATTATTAATTTGACCTGGGCAGTAGTCAATACTGGGACCATGACACCAATAATAAATATTTAAAATTTTTTTCGGTACAAAGAAGGAGGCCAACGGCCTATTAAGCTAAGATTCGACGGGGATACGACACCCCAATAATGTCTTGATCAAGCCAAGGAATAAGGCTGATAGGAGGTGACGTTATCCTCTGCAACCCAACCGGACAAGAAGCCGCCAAGCTCGCCAAGTGGTCAGCTGCAAAATTAGCTTCCCTATGCACATGCAGTATCTTGATGTTCCACTCACGCCCAATCAAACTACGAATGGCCTTAACCAAGGTATCATGTGGCCCAAACGAACCGTTAGAGCTCATTACCATTCGCACCACGCATTGATTGTCGATCTCGGCACTCACTTGGCGGTACCCCTTGTCCCAAGCCTGCTGGAGCCCCTGAAGTAGTCCCCAGAGCTCTGCTCCCGTAATGGTGCAGGCTCCAATATTCATAAAAAATCCCTCGATCCAACCACCCGAGTCATCTCGAAGCACTCCACCCGCACTACTTAAGCCCGTGAGATTATCGAACGCCCCATCAGTGTTCACCTTAATCCATCCCGGTTCCGGTGGGGTCCAAGAAATCATGCGTATAACATATAACGCGGCCCCCGCCTTCACATAGGCTGCTTCAGCACGTGCATAACTATCAACCAAGTTCACAATGTCCACCCTACGTGTTTCACAGCTAAGTGTTTGCTTGTTGAAGATCCTCTCGTTCTGCCATTTCCATGCACGCCAAACCGTAATAGAGAAAATACTGCTCCAGTTCTGAAACTCGCCCATCCGACGTGTCGCTAGATTCTTGCGCAACCAGCTCACTAGGGGCTGTTGGAAGAAAGCAGTGTTGCCACCGCCTGGGAGCAACCGAGACCACAAAGGCTTGGTGTATGGGTAGTCCCGCAGGACATGTAATATCGATTCGCTCGCACCACAAAAGTCGCATTCCTCCGCATCTGCAAGGTGCCGGCGCATGCGTTCCTCGTTAGTGAGAAGGCGGCCGTTAGCCGCGAGCCACAAAAAGTGGCGGGTACGTTGCGGAGCTGGGGCGCGCCAGATTAATCTCCAAAGCAGCTGGTCGGAGTTAGTCACCGGTTGAGATAAGGCTCGATACGCCGACTTTGTTGTGAATTGACCGTCCTCTGAGAAGCCCCAAACAATTCGGTCAGCACCATTCTCCTCGTGCGGTGGTAGGGTCCGCGCTAGCCGAAGGATCACGGAGGAGGGAAGGAGACCATGAAGCCGACCCCACTTCCACCTGCCATGGTCGTCAACAAGGTCGGCCACTGGCTCCTCAAAATGTACGTCCAGCGTAGGGTGGCGGACGTACCCAAGCAGCGTGCCAGTGTTGTCGAGCCAAGGGTCTAGCCAAAACCTAGTCGTAGCACCATTTCCTACTCGCCACCTGATCCCTCTCAAAACATCGGGCCACACCTTGCGAATGGCTAGAAGTAGGGGTGAGCCCGACCGCCACTGAATGTTAGCCAGGCCGTGTAAGATAATAACGTTGATTTCGTTATAGTTATTGTTATTAATATTATTTATATACCCAAGTTAGCTCTTGAAAAACCATTTAAATTGGGCTTCGTTTCATTTGACTTGGAGTATCTTTAAAAGACATATTAATTATCCATGGTGAGACATGGTTCAAGAAGAAAGAAATTCAATTAA